GTCCAGCCAAGTGGAAAAGAATCACTCTAAAGTGGATTAAAGCCATAAAAACAAAGGAAAGATGTTCGTGTTTATGGTTCCAGAATTTAGCCTTTCACTATTCTGTGGCTGCTTGTTCCGTGAATTTTTCACGTAGAGCTGTGACACTTATATTGTTGGAAAGAGCAGAGTCTGGCTTTAAATTGATGGGCTACTTTTATGGTTTGGATCGTTTTCCCCGACGTAGGTGAACTAAAAACGTAATGGGCGGGGGACTCGGCTTTAGTCTACGCTGTGATATACACTCTAACAAGTTTTTGCTTTTGCATAAAACTCATGACAAAGTTGCCTAAAAACATTTCATACTCTGTATGAAACACAAACGCACGCACACACACTCCTACCTTTGTACCGGCTGATGTGTTAGCTTCCTGCTAGCTGTCGTGTGGAGGAGGTCTTTCCTCTCCCGGTCTTGGCAGTAAAAGGGGATAATTGTACATTTCCCTTTTGTAACCTCTGTCTTCTCATTTCTGATGTTGGCTCTTGAATATCCTCAGGTTAGAAATGCCGATTACAAATGCAAGTGTGAGCTTTTAAAGATAAGTTTTGCCTGTAATGCTATGATCCTCTGCTGTCACTTCCTCATCTAAAGGAAAAAGGAGAAAAACTAACTACTCTATCGTATCTGCTGGTTAACTGACACAATGGCACACAACAGAACTCACGTTTTATACCAGTAGCTCACAGATGCTTTAACTTTTGTGACTTTTTCACKGACTAGTRCYAGCAGCTAACGCTAAAAACATAGGCAGTAAGCAGGGAGTGGAAGGGAGGAGCGTGGTATGAATGTTACCGGAAATACGTCATAAATGACCATGGCATATAGGCTATTGGCTGTGTCCAAATTCAGGGGCTGGGTTAAAAGGACCCGGTCTGTTGGGCTGGTTACTTGGTCGACCGGAATAAAAAATGACTGAGAATTTGGACGGTCTAGCCTTCTGCTTTAATTCCCCCATTACACCGACGTATATCCTAAGGGACCTGCCATAGCTGCGCTTTTATTTCGCCACACCAGCTCGTTTGATTTCTGACAGGAAAAACATGTCTATGCAAATGACAAAAGCATTAACAACACAAACGCTTGAAACTTAAACATAATTTTTATACTGCCAGATTTTTATGTAAAACTATACTCTTTTATTTTGGTCCATCCGCTATTACGAGCAGAAAAAAAAAAAACTCCATTCGGCCTGCAATGCATTTTGGGATATGGTGGGCCAAGAATCCATCAGCCTTGACAAAGAAAAGCTCATTTGTTGGCCACATCGGAGGAGTCTTCAAATTTGGTGCTGTGACGTAAGTGGCTGACAAATTCAACCTTCAGAGGACTCCTGAATTCCTGAATTTGGACACAGCCACTGTAAAAATGATTGTGAGGACTTCTTGTCAAGTTTTGGATGACCAAGGTAGTGGWAAAACAGACTGCAATTTATTTGAAAGYAATTTGYCTTCGGATAACCAGAACAAACTCTGTTTGGTTCAGTGGCGGATCTAGGATTTTTCTGAGTAAGGGGCCATCAAGGAGCCACAACATTCATAGAGAGGCCAAGTCTTCTATCTTGTAAGCACAATTATGATTAGGAAACACATATTTTAACATTTAATATTGTACTGTATCACTACATTACAAATATCCACAAATATTAAAGGGATCATTATTGTAAAGTGTAAAACTGTACACTATTTTGGATGGGGTGGGATTATTTGGAGTGTGATGTTTATTTTTGTTTTTGTTTTTTTTTTCTTTTTGGATACATCATCATTGTTGACAGTAGTTACATGTTTTACCAATATTGATAATCAACACTAAGTTTTAAAAATGATGATATTTTACATTAAAGACTAACTTTTAGCATTTATAAATATTTATTTGTCACTATAGTGTACTGTATTGCACTTTACGATGTCTCCCTTTGACAGTGGTGAATATTTATAATGCAGTAATACAGTACACTATCAATATGTTAAAATATGTGTTTCTTATCGTTATTGTGCTTACAATGTAATCTAGTCTGAAATGTTTAATAAGCACCTTTAGATGTAATATGTATGTGAACAGATTTGTCTCATTATATGGTAAGAAACCAAACAGTTTTGACTTTCTCATCCTTAATTATTGCATAATAAACATTTATTAATGATTTATAAAGTGTTTAGAGATGAATTAGTAACCTATATATAAACTCTTTATAAGCCATCTATAAGGGGAGCCGAAAGTGTTGCAAAAAAAAGCTTGCACAGTAAAACACAGTTGTTCTTGGCAGTTTTTCATACATTTTACTGTACAGATACAATATTCTCCAACACACAACATGTGAGAACATCCAGCCATCATTTGACAGTTGAAATACTTTTTTGCAGGATTGTTAGAGAAGAATTCTGTCAGCTTGATTCATTCTGGATTTTACCATTTGAACCGTTTGCGCATGTGTTTGAACATGGAACTGCATCCACCATCATCACTCCCAGGTAAAGAACAGAAGAGTGACAGGACAGGGGCACTTCAGGGGGCCAATCAGATTTCAGCTGGGGTCAATGCCCTTGTGGCCCCGCGCCTAGAACCACCCCTGGTTTGCTTTGTTTACATTTGTAGTAGCGTTTACAAAGGCCCTTGCAGAGTTTGGGTACCTGTTGTGCTGTTTGCGGCTGCACCAACAACCAGACTAAACTGAGTCAGTGGCTGCAGCAACAGGATTTTGAACATGGACCCTGTTTCATCTTCACACAATCTATCTTTCACTTTGAATTACTTATCCAAGAAAGTTTGGTAAATGTGCGCCTGTTTTGTTTTGCTACTACAGTGTGGTGATGTGGTAAAAGACGTTGTTCCGTGCAGCGCAGACTTTTCAGAATAACTCTGTCTGATACCTTTTAAGACACAGTGAACAAAAAAAGCCATGCTCGTTTTTGTGTTTGGCTTTAGATCTGGCTGAAATGAGCAGCAGGCAGCTGTTTGTTCTGCATTCATTCAGTTTTTATGTAGATCATAAGGTTTTGAAAGCTCTAAGAAAATGGTGATTGAAGGTTTCTGAGAATCTGAAAAGCTAAAATTTGGACATTTAATAGATCAGTGGTTCCCAAACTTTTTATCTTCTGACCCACAAAATATCCATGGCAAAAACTTGTGACCCCAAATATTACTGGTCTGAGTACACGAACATTGTTAATAACCCTAAAAACACAGGATTTTTGACAATCTAAACGGCTAGTACACAAATATGAATAATTATTTATGCTTATTATGTGTTTTTGTAATCGTTATAAGGAAGATATTACACCAACAATTGTTTTATTTCCCTTTAAATTGATTTCTGGAG